TTTGAAGAGCAATGAGCAAAAATCTCAAAAACTGACAGCAAAAAAATTGTTTAAGTATATCAGAAACAGGGAGCTTGCCAAACAGTGGGGCCACTGAACAATTAAGTTTCTAAAGGAGCACTCAAGGAAGATGAGGCTATTGCAAAGAAGCTAAATGAATTCTTTGCATCAGTCTTCACTGCAGAGGATGTGAGGGAGATTCCCACACCTGAATCATTCTACTTAGGTGACAAATCTAAGGAACTGTCCCAGATTGAGGTGTCAGAAGAGGAGGTTTTGGAATAAATTGAATAGTAATAAGTCACCAGGAGCAGATGGTATTCACCCAAGGGTTCTGAAGGAACTCAAATATGAAATTGGAGAACTTCTGACTTTGGTATGTAACATATCACTTAAATCAGTCTCTATACCAGATGACTGGAGGATAGTGAATGAGATGACAATTTTTTAAAAAGGCTCCAGAGGTGATCCTGGCAATTACAAGCCTGTAAGCCTAATTTCAGTACCAGGCAAATTGGCTGAAACTATAGTAAAGAACAGAAGTATTAGACACACAGATGAACACAATTTGTTGTGGAAGAGTCAACACAGCTTTTGTAAGGGAACTCATGCCCCACCAATCTATTAGAATTCTTTGAGGGGGTCAACAAATATGTGGACAGGGTGATCTAATGGACATAGTGTACTTGGACTTTCAGAAGTCTTTTGGCAAGGATGCTCACCAAAAGCTCTTAAGCAAAGTAAGGGTACGTCTATACTTACCTCCGGGTCCGGTGGTAAGCAATCGATCTTCTGGGATCGATTTATTGCGTCTTGTCTAGACGCGATAAATCGATCCCGGAAGTGCTCGGCTTCGACGCCGGTACTCCTGCTCCGCGAGAGGAGTACGCGGAGTTGACGGGGGAGCCTGCCTGTCGCGTCTGGACCCGCGGTAAGTTCAAACTAAGGTACTTCGACTTCAGCTACGTTATTAACGTAGCTGAAGTTGTGTATCTTAGTTCGAAGTGGGGGGTTAGTGTGGACCAGGCCTAAGTAATCATGGGATAAGATGGAAGGTCCTCTCATTGACCAGTAACAGGTTGAAAGACCGGAAACAAATGGTAGGAATAAATGGTCAGTTTTCAGAATGAAGAGAGGTAAATAGTGTCCCATAAAGATCTGTACTGGGACCAGTACTGTTCAACATATTCATAAATGATCAGGAAAAAGGGATAAACGGGTTAGATGTCAAAGTCTGCAGATGATACAAAATAATTCAAGATAGTTAAGTCCAAAGCAGACTCAGAAGAATTACAAAGGGATCTCACAAAACTGAATGAGTGAGCAACAAAATGGCAGATGAAATTCAGTGTTGATAAATGAAAAGTAATGTATATTGGAAAACATAATCCCAACAATTCCTACAAAATGATGGAGTCTAAATTAGGTGTTAACACCCAAGAAAGAAAGCTTGGAGTTGTGGATAATTCTTTGAAAACATCAGCTCAGTGTGGAGTGACAGTCAAAGAAGCTAACAGAATGTTAGGAATGATTAGGAAAGAATAGATAACACAGAAAATAATACCACTACATAAATCCATGATACGCCCACACCTTGAATACTGTGTGCAGTTCTGGTTGCCCCATTTCAAAAAAGATATATTAGAGATAGAAAAGAGAAGGGTAACAAAAATGATTAAGGATATGGAACAGCTTTCATCTGAGGAGAGATTAAAAAGTCGCGGACTATTCAGCTTGGAAAAGAGACGACTAAGGGAGAATATGATAGAGGGCTATAAAATCATGAATGGTGTGGAGAAAATGAATAAGGAAGTGTTATTTACCCCTTCATGAAACACAAGAACCAGGGGTCACCCAATGAAATTAATAGGCATCAGGTTTGAAACAAACCTAAGGAAGTACTTCTTTATACAACACACAGTCAACCTTATGGAACTCGTTGCCAGAAGATGTTGTGAAGGCCCAAACTATAACTGGGTTCAAAAAAGAAATAGATATGTTCATAGGTCCATCAATGACTATTAGGATGATCAGGGATGTAACCCCAGGTTGGCTTATTTTGTAGATATTATTGAAACTTAAATCAAGACTGTACTGTAATTTTTTAAAATAAGTTTGTGTAACATAGTCTAGTTTATATTCTGTATTGTGTGATTTGATATAGTTTATTATACGGATATAAAGAGAGAATAAGAACAAGAAGCAATGGTCTCAAGTTGCAGTGGGGGAGGTCTGTGTTGGATATTAGAAACCCTATTTCACTAGGAGGGTGGTGAAGCACTGGAATGGGTTACCTAGGGAGGTGGTGGAATCTCCATCCTTAGACGTTTTTAAGGCCCGGCTTGACAAAGCCTTGGCTGGGATGATTTAGTTGGGGATTGGTCCTGCTTTGAGCAGGGGGTTGGACTAGATGACCTCCTGAGGTCTCTTCCAATCCTAATCTTCTATGATTATATGAATAAATTTTACTGCAGAAGTGCAAGATAGCAGAGTTAACTGAGACCGAGACTCCAGAAACAGTGTTAAAATACAACAAAGAATAACAAAAATCAGTACATTTTAAAAATAAAACTTTACATAGTTGTACTGAAAGCTAATAAATAAAATGAAGTTTCTAGATCTTCTAGCCAGAACTGGAAAAAGTCTTGCTCACACCTTTGCATACACAATGTTTCTGCAGAAGTTCTTTTCAGAAGTTTAAAGTAGACAGTGATTTATGAAGTATCATTAAAAATCTTATCACTCATGTTAATAAAGATGTGAGGGTGCATAGATTCTGATTTGCAGGATATATCCATTTGGATTGTTCCTTTAGTTACTGCCCTACAAAGGTATTTTGTTATTCCTAGGGTGAAGCAGAGAAGTAATTTTCCAAGGGTACAGGATATGCTTATTCTCAAGTGTGGGTGAAGCACACAATTTATTTCCATATGATATTTTTGTACTGAAGAAAGAAATTTTGGAGAAGGGAACTGTTGCCTCCATTCTTGAGCCTATATTCCTAAACTAGGTATCCAAACTACTCTTTTCTCTGACAGTGATAAGACCAAACAAATTTTGATGCTCTATTGGCAGGGAGTGGTCTTGACAGAGGGAAGGACTCTTCTTTTTTTTTTTTTTTTTCCCCTCTCCTCTCTTATACCTTATGTGCTGCAGGGTACATTGGATCCAGTGGAAGTTATGGAAGCAGTCATGTAGAGCGAGTCTTTATACATGTTACACCTTTGGCCCTGCTTTTGAATTCTTACAACTTAAACAATTCAGATTTCTGTTAGGATGTTGTATATTATGTTTATATGGATATATTTTCTTTATATGTGAGGGAATATGTGTAAAACTGATCAATGTATTTTGCTCAGCGTCTCTCCTTTAGTTAAAATTTTATGTAATGTATTTTTGTCATATGCATAAAATAGAAGATGTTAAAAATTGCCTTATTCTTTTATCCCCCGTAACCAAACTAAAGAACTGAAACCTTCAGAGAGGATGAAAGGGGAGGTCTTTAGCTGGTAGAGCATAAACCAAAGGAAATATTCATAGCCACAATTCTTTGAGCGAGCACAAAAATTGTATTTTGACCATATATATTGAATCTTCTGTGTTGGTTGTTCATAGTAGTTTAACTCATAAATACATTTCCACCATTAATTAACCTAATCAGTGAAATGAAAGTAGAGTGAGCATCTCAACAAGTTATTTGGGTCCTGACCATGCTGCTGATCTGCTTATAGAACTCCCATTGTGTTCAGTGAGAGTTCTCTTTGGGAGGGACTGCAGAAATAGGAGCTTTGATTATAATTCAGCAAGCCTGTGGGTATTCCTGTCTACTTATTTAACATGGTTGTATTTATTATTTTATTAATGAATTTTAAAAGTATAGACAATAGAATGGCTTGTAAATAACTGTTGTTATTTGTGTATCTAAATTCCACAGTTCCAAAGCTTGTTTCCTACAAGATGCACCTTAACTCTAAAAATCCTGACTTTCTGGTTGCTGCTGGTTTTTTCAACTACATTTTTTTTAAAGTTTCTTTTTACCCTTAAGTTACAGATATGTGTTTTCAACCTTAACTTCAGCATAATGAAGTTTTAGTCAGGTAATTTGTGTAGATTTTCTTTCTATATTTGAAAAGTTTAGTAAGTTTTGGGAAGCAGGGATCAGGTTATCTTTAAGAGCTTCCATGCTCCACAGAGCGCTTGGCAACATGAAGCAGCAAAGCTGGATAGTCAGGAGTATTTGCCCGAGATTTGCCTTTTAGGGTTTACAGACTCTGTAGGCACTTCAAGTTATGGATAACAGGCAGCCCTGGAGAATGCACTGTTCTCCTCTCTCTCGTGCTATATAACTCTTCACTTGCCACTCACCTGTTTGGAGCAAAAAAGCATCTTTGTCCTGAAGTAAGGTGTTGTTATTTTCCTTCCTGTTGATCTATATAAAACTTCTGCCCGTGCCCCTTGTGGGTGAACTGAGCGAAAATTTTGAGTCTCTTTCCCCCCACCCCACCGTACACACAGGAAGGTGTGTGGTTTCTTTGTCTTCTGCCTCTCCCACACTGTGGAAGATACACTGGTAAATCATTTGCTGATGCCTCCATCACTGCGTCCCTTATCATTTATCTATTTTGACTGTATTTTTTTAGGGCAGGACCTTGTCTGTATCTTTGTCTGTAAAGCACGAATTACACTTTGGGTGCTACATGAATAATGGCAATATGAGCAGGATCAGTCCTCAAACCGTATATAATATCTTTAAGGCAAAGTGTGTATTTTGCCAAATAAAATGTCCTTGTTGCTAGTTTGACAAATAAGGAAAAAACAAAAAAGAATGACAGTATAAAAAGCCCAACTAAACATTGGGGAAAATAACCTACATAATGCAATTGACATTTTTGTATTGAAGAAATTAGGATAGGAATTAAGTTATTTGGAATTAATTTGTTAATTGAGACCTTTTGAAATCATTTCTAATTACTGTCTACATTATTTTTTTTCTTTCACAGCTTGGGTCCTGTATTTGCTCTGTTTGTACCATTTTTTTGCTCCATTCCAAGGATGCAAGTGACACAAATATTAGGCCAATTTCCCATCACAAACAAGACATTGATCTATATACTGGGTTTACAGGTACAGTATGTGCTTCCTTGTTCACCTTTCATTGAATTAGCAGTGTAGCAGTTTATAATTTTGCATGCCCTCGAGCTAATTTTGTAATATTTCCACCCGTACATTTCACCTTAGGCCCACATTTTAAAGGTGTTTAGGTGTTGCTGCGCTCAGCGTTGCAAAGCCTAACTGATTTAGGAGCTTAAATATCATTTTAAAAAGGGTTTTAGGCTCTTAGGAGCCAAAATCCCATTGACAGTTGATGGGATTTAGGCTCCTAAATGCCTAAATCACTTTTGAAAATATGTTCACTGCAAATGTATGTGGTGGGTCCTTTGTTTAATTGGCTAGAAGAAAAGGGGTTGTTGCCCTTAGAAGGGCTTCCCTCTGCAATTGGTGGCAGAGATGGAGGAAGGGGAAGGTTTACCTGTAGAGATCAGGAAGGGGAGGTCGGCACTGCCTTTCCAGGTGACCAGAGAGGGAGGGCGTTGTACTCCAGGCAGTTCCAGAGAAAACTTCTCTGACTGGGATTGGGTTGGCAACACCTACCCTCCTAAACATGGGCCAATTCCCCTCTTTTTCCTGCTCCCTTAATCCTCATACAAGGGGAGGGCAAGCGGGCCCAGGTTGGAAAGGAGGTCTGACAGCAGCCCTCCCAAACACATGGAAACGATTAAAGAAATAATGACGACTTACACACTACAATTTATTGCTGGCTATTCCCAGATATTTTACATAAATAAATTTGCTGCCTAATTAAACTACATCCATTGGCTCCTGTGTTTCTTCCAGCATCGCCAGACAATGAGATTTAGTCTCCTAAATCAGTTAGGCATTGCAAAACTGAACATATCAACGCCTAAATACCCCAAATAATCTGGGCCCTCAGGCCTTATAACACCACCTAAAACAAGGGGGACAAATATGTACAATAGGGATTTTTTATTGCCAGTGACCTACTGTAGTAGGATGAAATGAGCCAGTATGCAAGATTACTGCTATTTCATTAACTTCTATTTCTGTCATTCACCAGAAAAAAAGGGGTAAACTCTAAGTTATGAAATATCTCTTATTTTGCTTAATCTTTTTTACTTTAACAAAAATCCTGATAGCTCAACCACTGTATTAATGTGACATTAACTGAATTTTTCTTATTTCCTTGTTTCCTGCCGTGCGAAGCAAGAAAGAGTATATATAACTTTAATGTAACTTCACAGCAAGATTCTGCCAGTGTTTGACGGCAGCAAGAATCTGGTTGATTAAAGATTTTGATAGCTATATTTTATTTTCATACACAGCATTACCATTTGACAAATAAAATTGGTAATTTGTCAATAAGAATCTGACAAATTTATGTGGAACATAATATCAAAAGCATAAAGAGGAAAATTAATGAGAAAATATTAAGTGTTCAGTAGATGAATATAGTAGCCACAAAAAGTTCTAAAAATCAATGGGTGATTTATATAACAGGAGACTTGCACATTTATAAGAAACGATGCCTATTTATATACATTCTAGACATATTCTCAAAAATATCTCAAACTACCAATGGAAAGTACCAGTAAATGTATAATACACGGTTAAGTGTGTTTTGGGATGAATAGGCCAGTTTCAGAATACTGACTCATGTCCACTTCTCTAACAACCCTTCCTCTGTCCTGTCTGTCCTCGAGCACTTGGAGGGTTTTTCTGCATTCTGCTCAAGCACCGCATTCTGCCTTGATCCCTCTGAAACCCTATCTGCTTCTCTTTTCTGCCTCCATCAAAACCATATGAAAAAAACATCTCCCACTGAGTCCTTTCCCATCTTAATCACTGGCTTTTGCTTTCTTACCTTAGTTTCCTAACAAATAGATCACTGTTGCTGCCAACCACTCTGACTTCACTCAAACTTTCCCTGTTGCATTCACAACTGCTATTGCCACACTAAGAGTGAGGAGCACTCATTTGCCCTTTCTTCACTCGTGAATTATGATCTCATCTCAAGTCACCCTTTTTGCAGACAAATTCTGGAGAAAGTGGCCTCATTCTGGCTACCTCTCACAGAACAACCTCCTTTACCAATTTCAGTCTGGTTTTCAGCCCTTTTCTTGCACTGAGACTGACCTTCTCCAGGTGACTAAATACCTATACCTTAATTCAAATAATAGATTCCCTCTCTTGGGTGGAGAGGGATGGAGTAACTTCATTTCTTAAAACTTGACCTCCACTCTGGGCCACCTCCATGACTACACAATTAAGAGTTGCTCCTTTAACTTACGCTGCCTCCTCTATTTGGGACTCCTTTCCCTCTCCCTCTGAGCTGCTGAGTCACTTCCTTTGTTTAAATCTGTCTTTCAAACTTGTTTTTCTCTGTAGCTTATAAACTGACTTCCTGCAAAGCATTATGTTGAACTTAATAATGATAAATGAAAAGAAAATGCATAGGATTGTGGGAAAAGAACAGCTGTCAGATCCCACCTGCTTTTTCCATCTCTTTTAGTTCTAGAGTGTGCCACTGCTATTATGGAACTGAATTTATGCAAAAATGGATGACTCTGACTGTTTACTTTGAGGAGATAGACACAAGTCCTACCATAATATTAGGGGATAGTAAATCCGAAAACAACATCTGTGTAAATTCTAATACCCATATTAAAATCATTACTCTTATATCTTCCAGCTCGTAACCTCTGGTTCCTACATCTGGATTGTAGCCGTAAGTGGACTGGTAAGTATTATCATTTCAAAAATGGTGTGTGATGTTTTAGAGCACTTTGATAAATTTATGTTCCAACCTATTGATGCTCTAAAAATAACCTTGTATCTTATTGTAAAAGCGTGGAGGTTTTTTATTTTTACTAAACATATTCATGCAAATTATCCAGTTTCTGAGCAACAGCAAATTATGAACAATAATGGAAATTAAAATTCTAGTATTAAATTCAGAAGTCCTAGGACACTGGCTAGACTGATGCTAAAGACAGATTGACAATAGAAGTGTCTTCTTTATAAAGAGTAACCAGACTGTCTTGGCTAAAATTTGCAGGTTGGCATCATTTTCTCAGAATATCATTTTAGTGCAGTGTGTGTAGCTTTAGACGCATCATGATTAATATTCACAATACAGTAGAAATGTTAATTCTAATAAAGTATTTGTTTATATTTATTCACCCAAGTATTTTATTGTTATCTGTTTTTAAGAGACTGCAGGCTTTTATTTTAACATTCAGTTCTCTAGCCTTTTCATTGTGATGATGTAAATTCATGTTTTGCCTTCCTTGTAGAATGTGAGTAAAACAACCGTTTGCCACCATATCGTAGCAGTAAGAAAGGTGTGAAATAAGTTTCCCCACCTTAGCTCAGTGAGGTGTGCAGTCTGCCCCTCTGTTATCCTCTTCACCTTAGTTGTTAACACTGGGACACTTTTAAATGATGATACAGTTTACAGTGCAATCAAGATGCTTCTTAAAATATGTTTTTTTTTAACATCCTGTGCTCCCAGAAGTGAGACACTGAGATTCTTCTTTTAAACTTTGTATGTCCTCGAAATTTCTTTAGGAATGACACAGCTTTCTGGTGTTAAAATGCTGGCTCTGTGAAATGGCTCTTATGACTCACTGAAAGTTGGAACCTCTCTCAAAGCAGCTCAACATTAGACCACCTAATTTTGAACATGAATAGCATGCTCATGTTCTCAGCATGAACATTTTGAGGTACGCTTTTTGTTGGTAGATCAGAAATTTGGCAATGACTTATGCTCACAGGTAGGTCCTATCAACTAGAACTTTCAGGAGATAGGTAAGCACAGGCCTAAATATATAAGACGAGCCAGGTATCATTTCCACAGCCCAGTAAACATGTAACCATTTCCAAAGCCTATTCTAAATTATACTGTGAGCTGGTAGGATGACTGAGCAGAAACACAATGCAGCTACAGGCAGCAAAATCTGTTCAGCAGTTCAATATTTTTATAAATGTAACTAAAAACAAGGTAACATAAGCAAAAAGAGTAACTAACAAACCAAAGCTTCTGAATTTCGGAGATCAGCCCCGCCCTGAGCGCCTGAGTAAGGAACTATGACTAAAGCTGTCTTCCTGTTACTCCAGAGGCTCTTTTTATAGCCCTTCCTTTTGCACGGGTGTTCGGGGGAGGAAAGGGAAGCTGAATTTGACACCTTATGTACTGGACAGTAGGGCAATGTGTTTGCACCCTGTCATACAGATCTTGAAGGAAACTTACTGCCTGATGGGTTTTTGTTTTTTTAGAATGCGTGATGTAATACTTACCAGAATATCCGTTTTCAAAAATTGTACAGTTTCTCTAAACCAAGACATCTGTAATAAAATGTACTTGTGTGTTTTGCTTCAGTTCTTTTTCAGAAACAAAATGTTTTAAAAAAATGTAAGTTGATCAAGTCTGATATTCATTGGTAGCAAGTTGATAGGACTGAACTGAACTTTCAGTTAGAATAAATGCTTCAAAATATCATTTAACTTTTCATGTCATTTTAAGTCAACACCTGGTTTATAGCTCTGAATTAAGTCATTAGTACAAATTGATATTTTTCAGTCCATAATACTTATGCAAGACATGCTTTGCCTGTGTCATCGGCTGAAGGACTGATCAGAAGATCAGTGTTGTAATTCAGAAAACAAATACATCTCCTGTATTCCAGATGTCTCTTGCATAACATAACCATCACTCTGCTGTATATAAGCAGTTGCTTCCTTTTTTTTTTTTTTAGAAAAAGAGAGAGAAAAGTGGTAATTTTGCAGCTTAGAAAACAGTTGAGAGTAAAATGTTATTACATTAAATGTAAAGTCTGCATTTACAGTGGTTCATATTTCACCATTTAACACTGCAAAAACTTTTTATAACATCTGTGTGTATATTTCTGCAAGGTATTTCATATTTTGATTTGGCAAACTATATATTTGTGTGTTTGTGACAATTGTACTACTCTTGATTTTGTGTAATTCATTAGTCAGTTTGGGCCAGATTTTCAGAACTGTGCATGGAGACTTGCACATGCAAAATGTCATGTATTTGAGTCCGTAGTCATGACAGCCAGTTAGATGTGTAATGATCATTTGCACACAGTTACTGCACTTGAGTGCCCATTGTGTTAATTAAAAAGACAAATTAGGCACCCAAATGCCTGAGCATAGTGTCATTTTGAAATCTGGCTCTTGTTGAAATTCTGCTCTCATCAAGCATCGAAATGTGTTCTGCTTCATTTCTGAATAGTTGTCAAGTTCTCATATATTTTGTTTCGGCCAATTAAGTTCTCTTTTACAAGTTAAAGATCAAGTACAAAACCAAATGAGTCCATTCAACTAAATGATGACTGATGATATACATGTGTAAGTTACCAAGCGAAACTGATGAGCTGGGTCCCTTCTAAAGGAAATTTCTCACTCTGGGCCAGGTCAGCCCCCAAAGAGCTACAAGCGCAGGTGCCCTTCACACACAAATTTCCCTCTTTCCATGTGGAAGTGAGAGTAGTGCTAGCTATGCAACTCTGTTTCTTCCTCTCCTTGCCCTGTCTGGATATTATTTGATTGGAGCTCTTCATACTTGAGCTGGAGTAGGGGAGGATATTCCTCTCTGCACCATCATTCCCTGCAAAACTCTTAGGTTTCTGAGCAAAAAAAGACAGACTGGAAGTAATACAACTTTGAGTTGTTCCTCCTCCTGTGTCCCTTCTCAGTGGCTACTGAATAGTTTGAGGGGGACCCAGTAGTGACAAAAATACACATATCTACAAATATATCTATAGATATGGCATGTATAGTTACTGGAAAATTTTGGAAAGTTTGTAGTATGAAGTTGGATTGCTCCCAACATCTTTAATAGCAGAATCACAGATTTGGTGTAGTATCTGCGATTTGGGTATATGTTCTATCATCAGAATCGAAGGGGGAAAAAATCCTGTTTCTAGCTTGGCTTCAAGTACATCTATCTGGATTGTTGAATTTGTATCAGTGTAGAATACACATTAGAGGCTACTTTTTTACCCTACAAGATCAAAATAGGTATTTCTCAGTACCATTGCTTGTAATTACTATTAAAATACAGAATCCTGCTCACATCTCTTGTATACCAGTATGTGCCTCGTCATTTCAGCTATTGAGAGGACAGAATGCTGTGCAAAGAATGTCACTAACAAGTTTCATGGAAGTTTCTCTGCAAACAGTATGATATAGGAAAAAAGTATTGTAAACACTTATACAGTGTTGACATAAAAATTAACATATAATGCTAATCTTTCAAGAACTTAGAGACCTACTTTTTAATTTAGTTTTTTGTAATTGGCTTTGTCAGGGGTGTGATACGTTTGGTGCATCCAAAAAAGAAATACTTAGGGTATGTCTTCACTGCCAACATTAAAGCGCTGCCGCAGCAGCACTTTAACATGGCTGTGTAGTCGCAGCACCAGCGCTAGGAGACAGTTCTCCCAGCGCTTTAAAAAAACCACCCCCATGAGGGGAGTAGCTCCCAGCGCTGTGCACTGTCTACACTTGCATCAAACTGTTTTATATGGATAGACATATTTCTGATAGCAATTTATATCATCAAAACAGGCAGCTGCAAGCTATACGGGTGATACACCATACACTAACTTTTAACGTTAGAACATGGACTTTTGTCTTTGTTACATTTACTTTCAACCAACAGTCTTCTCAACTGGTTTATCCAATCTCATTGCCCAACCAAGTTAAGCCTGGAAACAAAAAGGTTTCTTTCTTTTTTTTTTTCTTTTTCTTTTTTTTTTTTTGTAAACAAGTACAGCTTCTTAAAATGGCCTGTCTACTTATATGCTGCATTAAACACGCGAAAATCAGCTTCTCTCTAAAGAAGTACATTTCTGATTGGCTGTCAGTTTATATTTCTCATTGTTATACTCTTGCAGGATTGAAATATGAGGGGCATGTCAAGGCTCCCTCAATATTAGCTACAGCATAACTGCGACAAGAGCTAAACTCAGGTTGGTACCAACAGATGAGATTTCCCAACCGCAACATGGCGTTCCCTCTGTACATATACATAACATTATCATCACACAGTTCCACATATCAAGGTTTGTGCTATCTATGTTGCAAGGGGCTGTATTTAGTGGAAAATGGAGTCTGTTAGAGCCTCTTCCCTTTTTGTGGTGTAAGTGTTGAAATGTCTTGTCTGTCTTTCACCCAGTGTAATGTGTGTCAATTTCATAGTAGTTTGCTTTCAAAATAGGCTGTACTACATTCATCTCAGTATCTGGGATAGTCTGAGTCTTCTCTATGCCATCACCAAATTGGGTACTGTCTCAGACTCTGGGGCATTTAGTTTTCAACATTCTTAACTTTAAAAGTACTGAATTTCCTTGAAATTTGACTTGCTTTGTAGATATCATTGAAACTTAAAAACCAAACCTACTCTGAAGTCTGTGTGTACTCTACTATAATTTACTAAATTGAACGTTCTTATATTACTTTATATTTGTATTATACTATATATTGTATGTTTTGGGGAAATGATATAAACACTGTATTTTAAGACATCAGCACAAGGGGACAGAATTAAGGTAGAAAGTTCTACCTTAACTCTGCATTTTCTGACTTCTGAATGCTTGATTTCTCAACCTTGACATTGCATTATTCTAGTGGTGTTCACTTTAGTGGTTGGTCTGTCCTTCTTGGAGGAGACTGGGAAGGGTGAGAAGCAAAACATTTAATCAGTGCTTT